TAATAAAAAAAATACCATCTAAATATAAATGAGTAAATATAGTATTAATTTTGTATATAAACAAAAAATTTAAATAATTGATAATGAGTATAGAATTACCCTTGCGGATTCAAGTTATTTCAACGATGTTCTTTTTATATATCTAAGATTTAATTTTTTTTCTGATTTATATGAATATAAGCACATTTGACTAATTTTTAAATTTATTGAAAAAAGTTACTATTTTTTTTAAAATGATAAGATATTAAGATAATACTGTACTTAATCATAAATGTGGGATTAATTAAAATAAATCTTTTTAATTTAGTCATTAACTAATTAAATTTTAACTATAAAAAACCTTCTTAAATGTGAGATTAATGAGTAATTAATTAAAAAAAATGTAACTCCTTTTGGAGGGAAAGTGAAAATATTTTTATTAAATGTTTTATTAAATGGAATTAGCTAGCAATTATATATATATAGATTGTACAATATGTGTATGGATATGTATATAAAAAATAACGTCATGCCGAATGCACACAAATATTAAACTAATTGCACATTAATTTATTTGATAATGCACATTAACATAATATAGTGTATCTCCAGTAAATAGTACAATATGTGTGTGATATGCATATAAAAAATAACGTCATGCCAACTGCACATTAGTACTAGACGAATTGCACAATAAGTCATTCGAGAATGCACATTAACACAATAGTGTATTTCCGGACAACGATACCACGTGAAATAAAAAAATACAATGTTATGTTGATATTCATTCACATATATTAAAATTTCAGTTATTTCAGATTTGTACATAAATGCAGACTATTGATAAGTAATTGTACAATATGTGTATAGATACGCATATGGAAAGTAACGTTATGCCGAATGCACATTAGTGTTGGACAAAATTCACAGTAATTCATTCGAGGATGCACTTTAGCATATTAGCATAATAGTGTAGTTCCTGACAATGACACCGATTGAAAATAAAAAATCCGATGTTATGTCGGTGTTAATCAAGATGCACATTAGTGCGTGTGAGATTTCACTTTAGCGTAAAAGTTTGCAGACCGAAACGGATCGATTATAAAAAATTTTGATACAGTTTGTATATGTCGGTTCAGTTATCGTTTTATTTTTAAAGATTAGGTTGTTTCGATTCGTTGTCGACTTTATTTTTAAAATAACCGATCGACCATGTAAAATATTATTTATATTTATAACTATATATTACGTCTTATAAGCAAAAAATAATATATATATATTAAATAAAAATATTAAAATACTAAATATTTATATGTATATATATATATATATATATATATATA